ATGGAGAATGGACAGAGGAGCCCCCAGGGTCAGAGGAAGAGACTCCCTCAGGACTGGGGGTCAGGGGTCAGAGATGCCAATGGGAGTTCATTGGGTGGAAGGGATCTGGGGTCAGAGGTTGGAGGTCAGAGCCCCCCTCCACCCCTAGAGCCAGCCTAATGCTCTGCCCCCTTGTCCTGGCAGAAGATGGACGACAGCCGCACCAGCCTGGCGGGGAAGAGCGTCTCCGACATGAGGAGCTTCAAGAGCCTGGCAGCTGCCCCCGACAACACCAACGTGGCTGTCGCTGAGGTAACCTTCTCCCAGACCCCCGGCACCCCCTCTCCAGTGCCCTCTCCCTCTGTGCTGGCTCTAGGACACAGACCCCCCCACCGGGCAAATACCCCCTGGATGCTTCCCCCAGGGCACAGACCCCCCACTGGGTAAATACTCCTGGGCACTGACCCCAGGGCACAGACCTCTCCACTGGGTAAATACCCCCTGGGCACTGCCCCCAGGGCACAGACCCCCCAGCAGGTAATATCCCCTGGGCACTGCCCCCAGGGCACAGACCCCTCCACTGGGTAAATACCCCCTTGGCACTGCCCCCAGGGCACAGACCCCCCCACCGGGTAAATATCCCCTGGGCACTGCCCCTGTGTGCCCTCACCAAGTCAATACTCCCTGAGCACTTCCCCCAGGTGTCCCCACCAGATAAATACCCCTTGGGGACTGCCCCCTGGGTGCCCCTACTAGGTAAATACCCCCAGGCATTGTCCCCCACTGGGTAAATACCCCAGGACACCCAGGTAAATACCCCTTCCTGGGTAAATACCCCCTGGGTAAGTATCCGCCTGGGCTTCACTCCCTCCATGCCTCTCGGGGATGGCTCTGCCCCCTGCCCCTGGCCATGCAAGCCCCTCTGGCACATCTGTGCTTCCCACCCCCCAGCTGCCATCCTCCCAGTGCATCTCCACTGCCTCCCAGTGCCCTGCTGGCATGCGAACCCTCCCCCCCAGTGTCAGCCACCCCCTCCTTTGCCCAGCCCAACGGGATCCCCCCTTGCTCCTCCACCTCCACCCCCTTCCCCTGCCCCACCAGCATTCAGGGCACCCCCTGCCCGTGCTTCTCTCTCCCCCCCACCCTGCCAGGCCACGTGATTGACAGCTGCTTCCTGCCATCCCTAGGGAGATGAGAAGCAAAAATGCAACAGCCACGTCCCCTTCCTCCTCCTTTTGTTTAACAACCAAGGGCTAGTGGCAGCCGTGCAGGTAAGCGGCCAAAGGCTCCAGGTGCTGCCTTTGGGCTCCCGCGTCCTCCCCTTTGGCTTCTTCCCTTCCTCCCCCGGGTTTTGCTCCTTTCCCAAGGACAGGAGGGAAAGCAGCGGCTATGGCACCCGTTAGCTGCCCCCCATTCCCCACCGCCTGGAGTTGAGTCGGTAATGCCACCACTGGGCCTGGGTCCAATTCCCTCATTGGCCACATTGCCTGCCCATTGGATCCACCTGTCACGGGCGGGGGGGACTCCCCCTTCCCAGGGGAGTGTATTTTGATCTTTTTTAATGGCGCAAAAAGCGAGAATTTCTCCCCACGATGCACACAGCACACAGTAGAGGACACCATGGGGAAGGGGGAGTGTTTCTTACTATTGGTGTTACGGGGCCAGTTACTGCTCACCGGGGTCCTGTCATGCTGGGCGTTGCCCAGACCCCAATTGAGGTCTGGGCCCTGTCGTGCCAGGTGCTGCCCGGACCCAGACCCAGATCCGGGCCCTGTCATGCCAGGCGCTGCCTGGATCCTGACCGAGATCTGGGCCCATCATGCCAGGCACTGCCTGGACCCAGACCCAGATCAGGGCCCTGTTGGGCCAGGTGGTGCCCAGATCCCAACCCAGATCTGGGCTGTGATCCTCCCATAATGATCTCCACTCCAGGAGCTCACGCCACCAACATTGCAACCCTCATGAGCCCACATTCAGCAGCTATTGACCCATCAGCTAGTGGGGTCTCCTTAATGCTGATTCAATTTCCTCTCGCTAGGCAGCAGCATTTGGGCAGGGAGTGACAATGTGGAGTTTCTCCCCCCCGCACCTCCAGGAGCTGAACTTTTAGCCTCCGGCAAATCTCTCAGAGATTTCCCAGCTCCGAGGTGGGAATAGTGGGATTCCAAGCCACAATTCCCCATGGGGGACTCTCTGAACACTGGGGGTGACTCCTTGCTTCCCACTAGTGGCCAGTCCGGTGATGGCAATGGGTGAATTTCTGACTGCCGCTGTCCAAATTGCCCTGCTCCTTCCATGCCAAGTGCCAGGTTTTCATATAAGCCTCAAATCAACCCCATGTGGTATCCTTGGCAGAAAAACCCTGTGGGAAGAGGACACCCCATCCTGTTTTGCAGCTCCAGGAGAAAGTTCACAGGGTTGGAGGCTAGATGTGTTCGACTGCCTGCATGTGACACAATTTCTCCCTGTGCTGAGCCCAACGACCCGTTACTTAGCCATAAAGAATGGGAGGGTTTGAAACCCTGCAATGACACCCCCGCCACTGGGGCCCATGATCCTTGAACCCTGGCTCTAACATTTTGGGCTTTCTTACCATTGGCATCGAAGTTTGGCACCATCGGCCATTTGAATTTTTTTATGTTTGAATAGGGGGTATGTTGTGTGCTTGTGCTTTGATACAGTTGTTTGTTTGTTTAGAGAAAAAGGTTGAAAGAATGGAGTGAGAGAACTTAAAGTTTAAAAAAAGAATCAACTTTTTTTTTCAAAATGGCCGACGGCACCAAACTTTGACACAGGGGATAGAGGGCAGGATATAAGCCCTAAATGGGACGTGGAAACCTGTCAGAAATACATGGTGATGAATGCTATTGAGCCATATACTACTGACCACCCTCCCCTCCCCCCGCCTCCGAAAGCAGCTCTGGTCTTTTGGGTCCTGAGGCCCTGATCCTATCAATGGATCTGCCCCACGCAGGATTGGTGTTTTCTGCTCCGATTCTGGCCACACTTCCATCTGAGTGGGACTTTCAAAGCTGAGTCCATGCCAAAGTGCTCTGGTGAATCGGGGAGTTTTGAATCGAGCTGGTCAGAAATTGATTTTCTGTCTTGCAATTTTACTTTTTTGAGACTTTTTTTGGGGGGAAAAATCCAACAAAATTTATTTTTGGGGAGGGGGGACATTTTGAACCTTCAAAATTTCAGAATTTCAGGGTCTTTTTGTGTGAAACCCAATTCTGAAATAGATTTTGCTTCCGCTGGAAGTCTCTTATCGCAAGGAATTCCAACATTTTGTTCAGCTCAATCTGAATTTTTCCATGGTTGATTTGAATTCTCGTTGACTATCGAGTAATGAAAAGTCATTTCACAATGGAAAAAACCCACCCAAACGTTGCACTCCCAAATCAGACGTTTTTCAACCTTTTGGAACTCCCCTCCCCCCCTCGCCCCTTCCCCAAATTTTTGAACGAAATTTTGTCAGAATTGATGCCAAAAATTTTGGTGTGGCCCAAACGGCGTCTGCCAATGGGAACCTTTTTTGTTGAGAATTTTCCTACCGCCTCTACTCGGAGGAGATCAACAAAGGCCTGTGAAATGAGGGGATGTGAGAGGGAAACCTTAGCCTGGTGCAAACCTTGGCCCCCCCCATGAATCATAGCCCCTGTAGCAACTGGTGGGACGGTGCCATAGCTGGCTGAGTGGCTGCCCGCTCACACCGGGTTTGTTCTCTTTCTGGCTGGGGTGGGCAATCGTGGGCCTGGCTTTCCCTAGCCAAGGCTGAAGGCATGAGGCCACAGCTGCAGGATACAGCGATTTTGATGGTGGATCTTAGCCAGCTGGGAGGGGCAACTAGCAACTCAACCCCCTTCTGCCATCCCCATCCCCAGCCCAAGCCCCCCGGGTCAGGTGCCATCTCTGCTCGGGGGTAGAGGGGGTGGGGGTGAAAAAGGAGGATGCATTTCTTAAAGCTTTGGAACTAACCAATGAGTAGCCTTGTGCCTGGTGGTTAGAAGGGGAATGGCTGGGAGTTATGACTCCTGGGTTCTCTCCCCGGCTCTGGGAGGGGAGTGGGGTCTGGTGGGTTAGAGTGGGGGGCCCAGAGCCTGATGCAGTGAGGGATAAAGAACCAAAGACCTGGTGCTGAAAATGCAGTGGGCAGCTCCCCTTCCCACCCCCATGCTTGCAGCATCTCTGCTGTCTTCTCCCCACCATTGGGAAGACCAGCTTTCCCTGCCCTACCACTGGATGCCCCTGGAGACCACGCTGGTGCCAGCCGGGTGGCGTGAGATGGGGCAGGGTGTTGCTGGCTTCTAAACCTGCTATTGTTTGTCACAAATCTGGCTGGTTCTGATCCCTGCCCTGGTGTGGCTGGCTGCGGGAATCCGCCACTCGCCTGGCTCTGGGGTTACTGGACTGCCCTTCTGTCTCATCCCCTAGGGCGACT